AACAAAACCGTATTAATTATTCATTTAATTATAAAGTTAACCCTTGACTTCACGTAGGCATTCGGTTGATGCTGAAAAAAAGAAAAATAAAAAACTCTTGTCCAATTACGATAAAAACACGGAATAAAAATGTGAATAAAATTTCTATAGATGAACTCTGTAAAATGATTTTTAATATAAAAAATAAAATTTGTTATATTGTAAATAAGGGAATTGTACCAAATAAGAAGTATTACTAAATTGTTTTTTGAACACTTTTTTTTATTGAATTGATTCTAACCAAAACTATCTCATGACTTCATCAATGTGAACCGTCAGTAAATTATTTCAAGTCGTCATATTTATATAAAATATTGCTGATATGATTAATTTCAATATGTTGATTTAATATATTAAAATCTAAAAATTATATTGGTAACCATATACTAATTATATCACATTCATTTATTTCTTATATATTTTTGTGATTTTCTTTTGGTTTTTCCTGGATAAATTGATTGTTTTGAGTAAATATATATTGATTTGTTCACTATATGCATCCAACTACATATAAAACTTTGATGTCAAAAACACATCATATATATTTGTTACAAATTAAGTATAGTGAATTTTCAGTTGGCTAAAATGCACTGATTCTGAGCTTCAAATTTGTCAGGGCACTAGTTGGATTCCTGGTACTTGCAGTCTCGAATAAATTATTTTTGAATAAATAAATATGTACAGGAACTATTTCCAAAACCAGTGATGATAGGTCATTGGCAATACTCGTAACAGCTGTATGGTCAGTCAAAAATTCAATTATTTAAAATAATATAAAAATGGACTTTTGTTGTTCTAGTTATATTGTATGTAGTTTAAGTTATTACCACCAGAACAATCCAAATTATAATAGTCGTTTTTCAAAAACATTAAGTTAATTTAATTATTCAAAACTCAAACCTGAACATAATGTTGTCATCTAATTACAAAAATGTCTTAACTTTCCTTACTAAAATAATTAAATTAGAAATTGAACATATTTTCACTTTTAAGCATACTTATATAATTTTGATATACCTATTTTTTTGTTTCGTCGTTGTGCATAGCTTTTGAATTTACATCAAAGTTTCTTGTCCTCTTGTTTTCATCAACTAAATCAGTCTTCAACTCAACACTAATGTATACATTATGTAGTAGAAAAAATTTGAATGGATTTTAAAGAATACAGTTCCTTTCGAATTTTAAAATTCTATAGAAAATAGGCAGATACTCTCATGTAGTTGTTAAAAATTTGTTTACAATATTTTACATTCGTAAAATATTCTTCATTAAAATATTTTGATATTACATATTTTAATTGATATATAAAATATTTCAGGAATTTATTTCTCACTGTAAGATCTGATTAGTTCATAATTTTCCTATTTAAAATTTTCATATTTTGTAAATAAATAACTAAAATAGTCCGATTGAGGTAATCAAAATCCTCTAATAATAATATTATGTTACGTTTATTTTTTTTTTATAATTATATTTTTTATATTTATATTTAATATATATGCATATATATATTTTACATTTTTATTATAATTTTTTTTTTATAAATTTTTTTTTATAAATTTTTTTTTTATATAATTTTGTTTTGAATTTTTGCGTTGTTACGTCGAAATCACTTTAAAATCTGTTTTATTTTTTTTTTTAACAATATTAATTTTTATTTCGAGCGTTAATTTTGTATATATTTCTATACCTATTTCGGGAAATTAACTTTTGCCTTCATCAGAAGAATTTCTAATAATAATATTATTAATAATAAATTAATAATCTTAATAATTAATAATTATTATTAATAAATACCTAAAAATAATAATATTAAGAACTTTCCTTATGAAGGCAAAAGCGAATTTGCCGAAATACGTACTGCGGTCAAAAAAAGTATTCGACATTTGATTTTATTCTTCCTCTATAACCATTAATTTTAAGCGAATATCGAATAGTTTGTGATGTGACCTGTTCTCCCAAATATTCCTTAACGTTATTATAAAAAAATTGTGGTATTTCTTTTGGAATTTTTTTTTGAATTTGGCGTACTAACCACTGCTCATCAGATTTGAAAAGTGCTTTACGCCGACCGAATGTTTGATTATTTTCGACCCATTTCGTTTTCATTTTCCATTTTTTTATAATATTATTATATGGTAGTTCTTGGTCTATTTACTATTTCACCAATTTTTTTTCACTTAATCCATTTTTATAATGTTTAATTACAAATACTTTAACACTTTTTCAGAAACTTCTGTTCCCTTACCATCCATTAAGGGAACATATTACGACTCCACTTCAGAAAACGCTTTATAATAAGGAGCCAAACGCTGCTTTCTTCATAGAAAACAATTGGAAAAATTGGATTTCCCCCTTTTTTGCTAACCAAAATTGCAGTTTATTGCATAAATGTCGAATACTTTTTTTGCTTTATTTTTAATATTCCGCAATAGAATTGCTTTTTTTGTTATTATATTTTTAAATTTTTGGAGTAAAAACAATTAAAACAAATAAACAGAATACAAATGTTTAAAATTGCATTATTTTTTTTTTTCATTTTTCTGTTTCTTTTTGTTATTATTACAACATTTAACAAAAATTTAGTTAATGTCGAATACTTTTTTTGACCGCTGTATAAAAATATACAAAAAATAAACGCTCGAAATAAAAATTAATATTCTTAAAAAAATAAAACCTATTTTTTATGTATATATTTTTTCTCATCAGTTATACTAATATTTATTATATTAACATATATATATTTATTATAAATATGTATATATACTATATTGTTCATAAAACTCAAATTTTGCATATATTTATTTATTTTTAAATTTAAATGAATTGAAATTTATCTTATCTAATAAATATTTTATTTCAATTGTCTGATGAATGTTTTCTTATCAATTGCAGATCTTTCCTCGTACTTCATACGTTTTCAAACTTAATGCTTATGCCCATTGTGATAATGATATAAATAATCAAATTTGAAGTTAATATTAAACAAAAGATTTGTGAATGGTAATCTTAACCATCGGTCGCCAATCAGCATTAAGTGCTAAAAAATTTATCAAAAAAAAAAAAACAATTAATAAAAGGCTACAACAATAATTTTTTCATATAAAGTCAAAACAAAATGGCCACTAATAGAAATAATTGTGAGACAAGCAACAATACTGCTGCTTTATTAATAAATGAATCCAAAGATGAAGTCGATTTTGTATTGACCAAGTGCAACAATATTTACAATAACAACAATATTGATAATAATACTAATTATAACGCCAATAAAGTAAGTACCAACAAAAAAGCAGACAATAGAGTTTTGTTAAATAGCGAAAATGTGCCAAAATCTGCCAAAAATTCCACACATAACATACAAAATTATGTGCCAAATACGCAAACAACAACAACAATAAACAATTCAACAAAAAATAACAACAATAAAACGAAAAGTGGTGAAAATACGGAACTAAAGAAACAAACAACAAAAGAACGTTTGTCATTATTTTCATTTAGTAGTAAAAAGAGTAATCAAAAGGCTACTGCCTTTACTACTGCAACTGTAAGACCAACACCAACAGAAAAGGAAAATGGTACACAAAACGCATCCATAAGTTGCACTCAAACAACACCAACAACTAATGTGTACAGTGAACCGCCTGTACCAATTGGCACACCACCGCGACAACACAAATTTGTCAAAAGCTCTTCAATTGCGCGTTTACTTGGCAACACTTACAATGCCAAAAAAGTTGAAAAAGTTGAAAAAGAGGAGCAAAAACGACAAAACCGTGGCGATGGTGCCAAATTCAACACGTTTGGTGGACGGCGACGTAGCAACGGTGCCTACCTGGAGCGTTTCAAGAAATACGCTAAGGAAGACGGTGATGTGGTCGCAAATGGTGTCATAACATTGACAACAGACTCTCGTGATCTGTTTGGCGGTAGTCGCAATGAATTAGTAAGCGTAACGCATGTGCAGGAGGATCGCAATGAAGATTTGGGTGCCAAAGCCTTTCGTACCATTTCACGTGGTTTGGGTAAATTGTGGTTTAAACGCACACATAGCGTAGAGATCAGTTCACCAGATCCAGAGTTTAAGGTGTCTTATTTAGGCAACGTGCTTACTGGTTGGGCCAAAGGTAAGCAAAGAAAATAAATTTTTTTTACAAATATTTGAGAGTATCTATTTTTCTTTTAGGTGAAGGTTGTGTTGAGAAACAACTGAATACACTTTGGCGAAACTATACTCAAAACAATAAACCAGATGTTATTATGCGTATTAAAGTTTGTGCTTCCGGCTTAAAAGCAACCACTAGACAACATGGACTGACAGAATATTGGGCGAATCGGATTACACATTGCTGTGCACCAAAAAATTATCCACGTGTATTTTGTTGGGTATATCGGCACGAAGGACGCAAACTCAAGCATGAATTACGTTGTCATGCAGTGCTATGCAGCAAGGAGAAAGTTGTGCAAGAATTATGCAATACTCTAAAGGTAAATAAATCTTACATAAGATTGATCTACGAATAATATTTTGAATAACAATTTTATTTTGTTCTCCAGGAAAACTTAGAGAGCGCTCTACGTGAATTTAAACGTGAAAAAATTCTTAAGCAGAATGCTCGTCTCAGTCTTGCTAATGCAGCTTATGATAATCCAAGTTTGCCGCGCCGCAAAATACTTTTAAGTGTCGGTGGTAACAATTATCGGCCACCATTGGAACGTTCCAAATCTGCACCAAAGTTGATGGCGATTGAAGAAGCTATTGGTGAGGAAGATGGCGATGAGATTGAAGAGACAAATGAACCGGAAATGAAATCATGTTGTCAGAAGGATTCGCTTTACCCAGCCATGACATTAGGGCGCCGTCGCTGTCGACGTGGACACTCTATTAGACGCACAGGTAAAGTAAGATCGACATATAATGACTTGGTGGAACATGAACATGGCAGCGGCTGCTGTAAAAATACCAAAGAAATCAACACATCAACTATCACAAATGCTAATGCTAATGCTACAAGTACAACAAGTACAACAGTAAATGAACAACGTCATAGTTATGGTTCAGATGAGTCTGATGAATTTGACAAATTGTTAAAATACAATAATTATGATAGCAATGCTTCTCTTACAAATGAGTTGTTACCATACTTTGACATGCAGTTACACAAGAATACAAGTGCTAGTCTGGGCAGTTTAACCGAATTAAGAGACGAAACAGAACCATTAAGCTTATTGCCCACCATAAACAGTGATCCATCCGCAGATCCTGAGGGAGACTTTAATCCAAATGATAACTCGAATGATTTGGTTGAACCAGAAATCTTAGGAATACGCCGTAATGGTGTGTGCAGTGACGGTGAAGAAGATTATTTAGATGCAGATGATATGTACTTTAGGCAAGCCAGCATACTGAATATGTTGCATCGCAATTCTATGCGTAAAATGACTAATTTATCAATGAGCAGTGACGAAAGCAGCATTGAAACAAATGCATCTGCACCTTTGCAATATCATCATCAAATGCAATCATCTATTTCATCAAACGCCTCTTCGATAACAACTAATGCTTCCACTACGGATAGTACAACACAACAAAAACCATTTAATCCAGACAGTGATGAAGGTTCCATATCGAGTGGTTGCGAAACAGCGAGTATAGCAACAGCAAATCAAGATGATATTTCCTTACAATATCAACAACAATATAAACAGTTAATATCGCAGCATTCAGCTCCTGCAGCTTTACAGTATGTCGAACAATTGCAAGAGAATAGTGTTCTCCATGAAGAACCTATAACGGTGGAAGAAATATACCAAAGGCTAGAATCACGTTTAAAAGGCCGTAATAATAGTGATGCTACTACGTTCAGTAGTTCAAGTTCTATTACTCTGAAATTAGGCAATTCACCCACTGCATCAATGAATGGTTTAGACAATTTAAATGGTGGATTAAATCGTACTCGGCGTATACGACGACAACAGAAACCACAAAATGATAATGACTCTGATTCTGAATGTAGTGATGAATCCGGTTATGTTGAATTTCAGGAAAAGGAAAAAGCTATCAAAAGAGCTATTGGAGCTGCAAATGGTAATGGTCAAACCAAACCACAGCCTCCACCAAAGCCAATGCCTCGAAGATTGCTGAGTGCTACACAAAAACAAACTATAACTTCTGTTTAAAGTTAGTGTCAATTAAGACAATTACTATTTTATGCAAATCCAAGATGCATTGGTTTGGAATTTACCTGAATTACTTTTGCGTGTTTGATGAATATGTTATCGATATATTTCGATATATGTGCGTTGAATATATTCCATGAGACTGTAGGAAAAAATGAATGACATTACATTGCAAATTTGGAGGCAACTATATAATACGAGTATATATAATATGTATATGAAATATAAATGCTATTGTAAACTTAATGGTCAGGTTATATTGTTCTATTATTACATATGAAATTTAAAACTAATTTATTTTAATAATTAAAATTTGTACAAATTCCATGTAGTTCACAAAATTATTATAATATTAATTATTGTATATAAATTTATAACTTTTTATTGTACTAATTTTTGTTTATATATTTTCTTTGCTGTTGTTTAGTTATAAATTTGTTGCATCACTCTTTATCATGTACATTTTCCTTCAACATACATATATTTTTATTATATTTTTTTTTGTATATTTTAGTAAATAAGTTAAAAAAAGCTTTACTTTATTATTTATAAGTTTATAAATACGAATTGCAAGAAAAGAATTTTGTGGCGATTTAAAATTATAATCTCCGATGAATATATATTTATAATTGAAGTTTGTATATGAATTTATTATGAATATATGTATATAAGTAATTTTTTAAGTATATAAAAATATGATTAAATAAATACATATATATTGATGCATATAAAAAGAGATTTTTGTATTTAAACTTATTCATAAAAATTTATTACGAAAGAATGATTTCTTTAGCACTTAAAGATCTTAGGATTTTAGTATTGCTTAAAGTTAAGTTTTTATACATACTAGTATAGTAATTAACAACAATATAGTACCCGTCTATAGATGAACTCTTTGCTTCGAAAGCTTTGCGAGTAATATTCTTAGAAAGTATGAGTCATTTAAGTTGTAATAAAAAATAGCTCGGTTATATAAAGTTGTTTTTTTATATATCAAATATCATTTGTTACATAAGTAAATGAATCATTTCGAGCTCTTAAGTGCATTCGGTGACTACTTATGCAGTTCCAGTAGCCGAAACCTTTGGTGTTTACAAAATAACGTTTTTATTTATGCTAGATTTTAATTTATAGGAAATTGAAGGACCAACTTCATCTATTTGTATATAGAGTTGTACTTTTTTCGTACGTTTCACCCAAAATAGTTTTACTAATTGTCTAGAAAAAAATTCATGTCACATTCTATGCCATTATTCAGTTTTGATATAAACCATGAGAGGGCTGCGATAATAACTCTTAATACCGTCTAAGATGTTCAGTGTGTGGTTATAAACTTGTTTTAATTATGTTTAAGATTTATTGAGGTCGCAGTGTTATACCTTCGCGAATCTTTGACTCTCTGTTATTTACATTTATAACAAAGTAACCGAAATGAAATATTATTAATGCATCTTTTTGTGCATATGATTTTTATATATGAATTATGTTTAAAATGTGAACTAACGATAATAGTTGGTAAATATTGTATTGCAGCTAGAGGCAAGATAAGGTACAAGATACTTAGCTCGGTTAGTTGTCATAATATATACACTTCCCAATGTAACCTAAAGTGTAAAAGTGCACTTATGCCGTCATTAGCATTTTTTTGTGCCTTCAAAAATTTAACTCTAAAAAGGAGTTAACGACTAATCGCATAATCTGTGCGATCTGTAGGAACCTGCAGCTCAGATTAGAAAACTATATGAAAAATATATAGTAGGTTCTAGTGAATCTGCAGATTCATTGGAATTATTCAATAATTTGCCCTCTCTTTGCTCAGAACTACAGCGATTGTTGTTGCTGCACTATGTAGCAACGAATATGGATGCAATTACAATACGTATACATGGATTACAATCTTAGTAGGTGAGAGAAAAAGGGTTGTTTGAGATGATAAAATGATAAGTGTGCGTGTGTGGATGCTTATTGAAATTAGCCTTAGTCGAGATCAATGGGTCAGTGTTATAAATAAATAGTGGTCAGACACAGATATAATAGCTCGCATAGATAATATAGCTCGCATTTTCATGACAACAGGGAGAGCATCGCAATGAGCAATAGATGTCTGTTAGGGGTAATTTTAATATTTGTATTAACACGTACCCTTTCAGATGAAACAAAACTAACTCAGACTGCTCACTGAGATAAGCAGATAAGTATTTAATGGTGAATTAGGATAATCGCTTTATCATATCTAAATAAAAAATATATAAAAAAATTATTTTTTTAGTTTTTGTTTATTTTGCTTTGTTTATTTTGAAATAATATCTATAGATTACACAATAATTATGCAGTGTTCTATTCCAGTACAAGATCACAATCTGCAAAATGTATTATGTAGTAACAATAAAATAATACCGAAGCAACAAATACGCGCAGTGTAGTCGTTTCCACAAAATCTTACTGGCACGCTGGATTATGAAATCCGATAATGCCTCGCTTCTGCAACAAATTGCAAATGGTGCCACGAAAATCGCGTAGTGAACTGTCCTGAAGTTGTTGGTTGAAAACCTGTAATGTGTGTATGGTGTGTATATGTGTGGCGTCAAAAAAGTTGTTGAGTAAAAAAAAAGTTTAATTGCAATAAAAACAAGTGCAAATAATAACAAAAACAAAATATTATGCAATTTAATAGTATAGATCTTAAGTGTTCATATAGACTTACGTTGTCATAAACAATTGTTGGTACAAAAGTAGGCGCGTAAGAGTGTGTTACACGTTCCGCTTTTAACTGCAGATAAGTGCCCAATTCAGTGTGCATACACGCGTCAATATCGTTTGAAAGACCAACTTTTTCAGCGCACTATAAAAATTATATATATAAATATATTTGTATATAAAAGCAATTGTAAATAATCATATATATTTATAGCTAAATAAATGTTTCAAATAAAGATATAATTTTTATAATTCTCTTAATGCATTTGTGTTGTACTGTACAGTCACCTTTCAATGAAATGATTAATAATAGTATAGAACGTGATACGAGTATACATATTTTTAAATATTTTTAATCTAAATTTTGT